TACTCAGAATAGGCTCCCCGACGCGTTTCGACTGCCGCCACGCAGTCATCTTCAGGGGGTTCACCACCATCTATCCCCACAACACCATTCCACCTAAACGACACCAGGGTTTTTTCAGAAACTTCAATCTCTGTCAGAGCGGCCGTGCAGGGTAAGTCGCCCATTAGAGGGGCGCGCTGCAAATACATCGAACTGTGAGGGGCATATCGAAGATTGTCCCGACAATGTTTCTCGATACGGGGTTCGGCACCACGTAATTTTTCCATTTTTTGAAAACATTTGGACCACGTAATTTCTCGATCTTTGCGTGGGCCAAGTCCCACTAGCAGCGTTGAGCTACCTCAACGCCTGAATCTGGACGCTTTTGCGGAGATGTGCAGAAATGGTGTTGAGTTTCCTAAATTGCACGGCTCCACAAACACGTCCAGATTCAGGCCTTGAGGTAGCTCAACGCTGCTAGTGGGACATGGCCGCGTGTCATCCTTGCGCAGAAAAGGGACACCGGCCGGGCGGCGCAGAAAAGGGACGCCGGCCAGGGGCCATGCTAACGGATGTCCCGAGGGACTGACCACGTAATTTCTGTAAGGGACGCCGGTGGGCCCGAGTTCTGGCAATGCGATATAAGGGACACCGGGCTCGTTTCCCGGTTAAAAATAAAAATAAGAAAACATAAAGCAAGCCAAAAAAAAAAAAAGATCATCGCGATTTCTGCAACCCTGTACGCCCGTGTCCGGACTCATTGCAGTCAGAACGCCCCCCGATTCGGGCGTTGTCATGGGGGAAGCTCCCACTTGTCCCGATTCTTGACCGTCGATTATGAAAATGAAAATTAATAATGCGAGCAAGGGGGACCTCACCGAAGGCACGTTGCTTCTTTTTTTTCCGCCCTATCGGGACGTGCATTTTTTTTTTTTTTTTTACCGTTAACAGGCACGTTCTTTCTTTCTTTCCTCGCACGTTCGTATTCTTCCCGCGTTGAGCGGGGGAAAACGTGGGGCCAAGTCCCACTAGAAGCGTTGAGTTTCCTCAACACCCGAATCTGGACGTGTTTGCAGGGATGTGCATTTGAGGAAAACTCAACTCGATTTCCTGCACATCTCGGTAAACACGTCCAGATTCGGGAGTTGAGGAATCTCAATGCAGGAAAAAAAAAAAAAAAAAAAAAAA